CTTACACATTCTTACACATTTCTCTCTTCTCTGCACAACTCTCCACCACACAAAACTCATTTTCTTAAATAATGTGCCTAGCCGAAATGGGAGAAAGATTATGGACGGAGGGAGTATATAACAAGTATAACAATAACAATATTGTTCTAAGATCTTAAATATACAACTATAAACAAAATGTGTGAATGATGGTTATTATAAAATCCAATTAAATTGTACTGCGTATAAGTAACTTTGAAATATATTTGAAATGATGTAGACATATCACATATTTGAAAAGAAAGCTAATATCAATATTGCATAATAGTTACTCCCCATAAGTATTTTGATGATGTTTGATAACATCAATTACTAATTACACCGTATAAAGCTTTGCCTTTAACACACTTATTACAAAATAAAGATATACGAAGTATGCAATATATAACTTGAAATCACGAATATGGCAAAGCAGTGAGTGCGGTACATTGGAAATGAGTGTGGAGTGTATCCTAGAGGTTGCGGGTTCGACCCTCGCGTGCAACCCATTTTTTAAGCAGCTGTGGATTGGGCGGTTTGCATGGGTTCTCCGGGTTTAGCCGGGTAATGGGCTGGGTTTCCGGCCGCGTCAACAACAGGTCTAGACGGGTTTGGGCATATTTGCGGGTTAACCGTAACTGGCCCGGTATTCCCAGCGGGTTGCCGGTTTCCAGGTCGACCCGCCCGGGCCGAGGGGTAATGCGCTGGGTTTCCGGCCGCGTCAACAACGGGTCTAGGCGGGTTTGGGCATATTTGCGGGTTAACCGTAACCGGCCCGGTATTCCCAGCGGGTTGCCGGTTTCCAGGTCGACCCGCCCGGGCCGAGGGGTAATGGGCTGGGTTTCCGGCCACGTCAACAACGGGTCTAGGCGGGTTTGGGCATATTTGCGGGTTAACCATAACCGGCCCGATATTCCCAGCGGGTCGCCGGTTTCCGGGTCGACCCGCCCGGGCCGGGTCGGGTCTTACAGAATCAATTAAAAAAGTGATTTTGGCTTTTTTTTAAGAAAAAAGCATTTATTTTACCAAACATTATCAACTTTTATTTCCTCGGTTTTCGTGTAGAATCTACTTTTTACTTTTTCTATTACACAAAAAGCACTTATTTTACCAAACACTACCAACTTTTACTACTAATCACTTTTTCCCAAAAAGTGATTTTATTTAAGCACAAGTGGTTGCAAACAGAGCCTAAGTGATCAGATACGATCAAATTGTTTGACAGAAATTTTTTTAGGTCGGAGGTAGTAAAAGTTTATGTTTGAGATATCCATAAAAGGAGTAAGAATATATGAATATATATACTTGTAATAAATAGTCGGTTTATGTATATATGAATATACATAAACATGAATATTTATGTTTGAGTTTATGTAATATATATAAAAAGAATATATACAATGCAATTGTTAGATAGTCGGTTGATTATAGATGTGGACCTATCAATATCTGACTATCGTCACTAATTATAGGCCGATCACTAAAATCAATCATTTCACATCCATTGTGGCCGTCTCTGGCAAGGGAATCAAAATTGGTCTAATATCATGTATATAAAGGTTTGAATGAATGATTTATTGATGAAATACATGGGGAATATTTATACAGGAGTATACATAACAAACTAGCTAAAAAGAAGGGATAAAGGCTAGTAGCTAAAGTATCTCTACTGCTAATTCTATCTAATACACTTGATTCATACGTATGAGATAATATGAGTACGTATGCTACAATATTTGTACATTAATAATATTTGGCCTCAATACGCCCCCGCAAGATGGAGGTTCCATTGGAAACTCCCTGCTTGGATCGAAAGCGTTCAAACAATGTTTTACCAAGAGGTTTAGTTAGAATATCAGCAACTTGAAATTTATTTGAAATATGATGAACCGTAAGCTGACGGCCTTCAACCAAATCACGAACAAAAAAGAAATCTAATGCCACATGTTTCATACGGGAATGGAACACTGGGTTGACACAAACAAAAGTGGCACCTTGATTGTCACAAAATAACTTAGGAGGTTGATCCAAGTGAATACCCAATTCGGTTAAAAGATTACGAAGCCACAAAAGTTCAGCACTTGCATGAGCAATTGCCCGATACTCGGCTTCAGTTGAAGAACGGGCAACCGTCTTTTGTTTTGCGGATTTCCACGAAATAATATTGGAGCCAAGATAAGTAACATAGGCTGTAGTAGATTTACCACTATCATGAATACCTCCCCAGTCAGAATCAGAGAAAGTTGTGAGTGTTAAGGGAGAAGAGCGGCGGAGATAAAGACCATAGTTGATGGTACCTTTGAGATAACGAAGAACTCGTTTAATCCCTTGCCAATGAACGTCCGTTGGAGCACGCATGAACTGCGAGAGTCGATTTACCGCAAAGGAGACATCCGGGCGTCGACAATTTTTTCCCGCATAACACCAGAAACATCCCAGCCGTTCGATTGAAAACATCTTCGCCCTTCGTATCCCCTTCCCCAATCTGTTCACTCCATTCACCCGTAATAGCTTTTCTCCCCGTCATTTCTCCTTCTGCATTCATCGTGATCGGAACCGGGCTCTCTATCAGTCTCCTCCATTCCTCCCTGCATTATTATCCATTAACGATAATAATGGTCTTGGTTGAGGATCGGAGGCAATTCACCCGCAGCGGGGCACCATCTAGGTTAAATACAGTGCGAATGTGCGATTAAAAGTTTATCCAGTGCGAATGTGCGAATGAACGTCCGTTGGAGCATGCATGAACTGCGAGAGTCGATTTACCGCAAAGGAGACATCCGTTGGAGCATGCATGAACTGCGAGAGTCGATTTACCGCAAAGGAGACATCCGGGCGTGTGAACGCCAAGTACTGAAGAAGACCAAGAACTTTGCGATACTGTTTTTGATCCGGGAGTGGATCCCCAGTAGTAAGCTGCGGTGGCGAACTGGAGCTCATTGGTGTGGCAGCTTCTTTTGCTCCATCCATTTCACATTCTTCAAGAATATGATGAATATATTGGCGTTGACTGAGGAATAAGCCGTCAGGATGAGTAAGGGCTTCAATACCAAGGAAGTGAGTCAAAGTGCCGAGATCTTTTACAGAAAATCTGGACGTGAGCTGTTGTATAAACTTCTCCAGGGCCAATGTATTATTTCCTGTCACAACTATGTCATCAACATAAACCAAAAAGTAGATTAATACATTAGTGGAGGAGTAAATAAAAAGTGAGGCATCTGCGCGGGACTTTCGAAAGCCAACGGATAGTAGAAAGCGTGATAGTTCAAGATACCAAGCACGCGGGGCTTGCTTAAGCCCATATAGTGCTTTCTTCAAATGACACACATGTGTCGGATGAGTAGCGTCTTTGAAACCCGGTGGTTGTTGCATGTACACCTGCTCGGATAGAGTGCCATGAAGAAAGGCATTATTTACGTCCATTTGACGTAAAGGCCACTGATGAGAAAGAGCAAGTGAGAGCACAACACGAATAGTAGCTGGTTTTGTGACCGGGCTAAAAGTCTCTGCATAATCTCGTCCAGGTTGTTGAAGAAAACCTCGTGCGACCAGTCTGGCTTTAAAACAGGCAACCGTTCCATCTGCATGGCGTTTAACACGAAACACCCATTTACAAGTGATAGGGTGCTGTGAGCCACGAGGAACGAGACTCCATGTTTGATTTCGGTGCAAGGCTGCCATCTCCTCTTCCATAGCAGCACGCGACCTCGGGTCAGCTAAGGCAGCTTTCACACTCACAGGTTCAAGTACAGGTTGGATAGGATGAGTGGTAGTGTGATTGAGGAAAGGACTCCCAAAATATTTGGGGTTGGGAATTCGGTTTCGTGTTGGACGAGGGGGAGTGCTGGGCGGACTCGTTGAATGAAGAGTGGAAGTTGGAGAGGAGGTATTGTTTAAGGGTACGGAAGGATGTATAGGAGAACTGGGCAAATCAGATTGGATATGTGAGGGGGTTATGGAGGGTTGACTTGGTGGGGGGAGATTAGATGATGTGGCATGATGGTTATGGGATAAAGACGTAGGTGGGGAAAAGATAGTATTTGGTGGAGTAGGAGCGGAAGGGATATTGTTGGGTGGAGTGATTGGTGCAGAGGATAAGGATGAAAGGGAATTAGTATTGTTGGTATGGGTTGGACCGAGTGAGTGAGAGGGGTCAGGAAGAGATAAGAGTGGAGGGTTAAATGGCAAGAGAGTAGGAGTGGGTTGAGTAGCACCGGGCATTACGGTGCATGCAAATTCATGCATGTGTCCCGATACATCCTTGTTACGAAACGGATATATATCAGGTACAAACTTTACATGCCGGCTAGTGTATAATTTATTTTGTGTGGGATCAAGGCATAAATATGCCGATTGAGATAGGGAGTAGCCCACAAAGACGCAGGGAATAGAACGAGGCTGGGTTTTAGTGGACATATATGGGCGTAGCCAGGGAAAGCAAAGACACCCAAAAGGTTGTAATTTTGTGTAATTGGGAGATTTATGAAAGAGACGATAATAGGGAGTATCATAGTCAAGGATCGGAGTAGGGAGGCGATTTATTAAATAAACAGCGGTTTGAAATGCATATGACCAATAGTGAATAGGAAGACCCGAAAAATGTAACAACGTAAGTCCAGTGTCAACAATATGACGATGACGCCGTTCAGAAACACCATTATGTTCAGGGGTATGAGGTGGGGTGGTTTTATGAGATATACCGTGAAGATTGAGATAAGGCCGTAATTTAATAAATTCACCGCCATTATCCGAAAAAAGAGTGATTATTTTTCTGATTGAAATATTTTTCCACCAATCTGTGAAATTGAGGAAAAATAATGGCAACGTCAGATTTCTTTTTAAGTGGATATAGCCATATATAGCGGGAGAAAAAATCCACAAAACTGACATAATAACGATAACCATCAATAGATATATCAGATGTACTCCAAACATCAGTATAAAGAAGTTCTAAGGGACGGGATGCAGTCATAGAATTGACAGAGAAAGGTAATTTTGTACTTTTATTGATTGAACAGGACATACAATGAAATGGACTAGACAAATTACACTGAGTATGATTTTTATTTTGACGCATAAGCAGACTAAAAATTCGACTCGAGGGATGACCAAAGACGTGATGCCACCGCGGTTGAATGTCACGGTGGAGATTATTAACTTGAGGAACTGAACGAACTGGTGCATAATAGACATCATGATGATTCGCCCCGCGTAGAAGTGGCGCCCCCGTGACCCGATCCTTGACAAGAAAATGAGTAGAAAAAAATTCAATGGAAACATTATTAGTCTTGCAAAGCTTAGCAACAGAAATAAGATTTTTGTGCAAGTGAGGAACACATAGAATATTGGATAAAGTTAAGGGACGTGTGGGTGTGGGAAGAATAGATGAACCAGTGTGAGTGATTTTAAGTGCCTTACCATCACCAAGGCGGACCTCATCGGGACCATCATACTCAGTAAAAGAGGGTAGAAGTGCAGCATCATTGGTCACATGGTGAGATGCACCACTATCAAACATCCAAGATGGAGTAGTAGAGGAAGAAGCAGCCGAGGTGTGATTAATAGTCGGACTACCAGAAGGAATAACAATACGGTTATCACGGAGAAACCTTTGCAATTTTCTGCATTGCTGAACATGATGACCTGGGTTTTGACAAAAACGGCAGACTGGAGAAGCATGCTGCCTAAATGAATTGTGATGAGGCTGGTCTCCTCTTCCATGCCGGGGTGGCTGGCCACGGCGATCATGCACAGGACGGCGGTCAGCAACAGGAGCACGATCATTTACCTGGGTGATATGCGCCGTAGGAATAAGTGATGCAGCAGAAGTAGTGGCATCATGAAGACGCTGCTCATGCTCAAGAAGGATGGACTGAAGTTCTGCCAAAGGAAGTGCAGTGGGACGAACACGTATGGCAGAGGTTAACTCATTGTAGTCCGCACCAAGACCATTCAAGATACTGATGACAAGATCTTCTTCAGATAAGGGACACTGGGCGAGAGCCAACGCATCAGAGATGGCCTGCATCTCGGTGAGATAGTCAACAATAGAGCGGTTGCCTTTGGTGGTTCGAGCAAGTGTGGTTTTGAGAGAAATAATACGACCTCGGGACGTACTAGCAAAGGTAAGCGCTAGTTTATCCCAGGCCTGTTTTGCCGTTGAAACCGAGGAAATGAGGGGCTGGATGGTGTCGGAGCAGCTTCCGAGCAAGGCACTGAGTATGGTTTTATCTTGGCGATACCATATCATGTAGCAGGGATTAACACTTGTTTTGGCAGCATCGCTGAATTGGTCAGGGACCGGAATGGTACCATCGCAATAGCCATCGAGACCAAGCCCGATAAGGGCCGCGTGAACTTGACATTTCCACACCGGGAAATTCGAGCTAGTGAGTTTGATGGGAAAGTGGGATGCAGCGGTGATCGTGATGATCTGGGTATCGGCGGTAATAGCCATGGAGACAGAAAGAAAAAAAATTAATATGTGTTTAGGCTCGTTGGAGTATGGCTCTGGATACCATATAAAGGTTTGAATGAATGATTTATTGATGAAATACATGGGGAATATTTATACAGGAGTATACATAACAAACTAGCTAAAAAGAAGGGATAAAGGCTAGTAGCTAAAGTATCTCTACTGCTAATTCTATCTAATACACTTGATTCATACGTATGAGATAATATGAGTACGTATGCTACAATATTTGTACATTAATAATATTTGGCCTCAATAATGTATACCATATACCCGACCCCGGACCATACCACCTCTTAGGCCGTTATTTCGTGTAATTTTCTTTGTGCTATATTTATTATACGGTGCCAAATAATGTATGTGACTATGTGAGTAATAATGATGAATAAATTACACTTTTAATTGTATGAGTATCACATCAATTTCACAATTGATCAACGTTTTTAATCACTTTTGATGCATGACTATTGTGTGTTTTTGCTCATATATACCCATTTCTTATAATAATCGAGTTTATACAGTTACAGAATTACAGCCCATGTCAGTGAGTAATCATATAGAATAGTTTAGAAAATTTTGTTCCCTCAAAACTGTCTTGTTCAACTGTGAAATGTACATCATGAATAAGGTCTTGTTGATACGATTCCCAGGCTTGGTTGTCATAAGGAGGCAAACTCCAAACCTCTATTTGCATTAAATATCTGGATGAGAAGATTTCAAGCTTTGTATCCTTGGTCCAGATTGTCTATACAAGCGCATTGTGTATACAGTCTGCTATTGAAATGATAACTATACATTGACAATTTTTGAAGACAAAAAAAAAACTTTCAAAAATGAAAAAAAAATGTGATACTATTTTTCCTTTTTGGTGTACTTGAAAAAAACTTTTTGTCTTTCCCATATACAACGACGACAGTCCGATACACATTGGGCTGATGGCCCATCTGCTCAATTAGACCTAGTATCTCAAGCCATTGTCCAGAGATCGTGCCATCTCATTTGTTTGAGCTACCAAACAACACACATCTCCTTTGTCTTCCACAATAAAGTAACTGATGCTTGTATCAGGCTGTAGAATATGTGCACCATCTTCCTTGTCCGCCCCCAGATCTACAGAGCAAATATCTCAATATTTTACTACAACATTTCTATATTTTGATACCTTCAGTCGTTCTTATTCCCGAGATCAGACCAATTTCAATTTCTAGTTCCTCTAATAAAGCTAAAAGCCCAAAACCAGACTGGAACCAACCCAAGAATTGGGACTGAAGCGGATATACCCGCTTTCAGTGTCAGTTCCATCCTTGAGTTTATCCAGAACCAATCCTGCTGGAACCAGATCAGGTCCACCCATAGTATACGGGCTATAATCAAATATCTCAGGTCTTCTATGTATTAGTAGAATATATAAACATTTCTATATGTATCGGAAGCATCAGAGACCATCGAGCGAAATATTGGCAATTCCGTCATCTTTTTTCCAAAAAAAAAAAAATGAGCATGCACTTTGTTTTTCCTAAACATGCCAAGAGTTTGTCCAACCTGTGGTCTAATGGGTGAGTTGCCAACCCCCTCCCAAAGTGCTGTGTTAGAAAAAGCTTTTCAAAAAACACCAAAATTTATTGGTAATTTAGAAAATAGTTCACAAATTGTCATGTATCATAGTTCATTGCCCCATCGACCTGACACTTGGAGGAGAACTATGCAAGCACATTTTCCACCAGACACCAACTAATAGAGAATACTCCAGAGTTAATTAAACCATAAGAGACTCAACAAGCATGTCACGAGTTGGCTGATGCATCTCCCTGTCTAGTGTCTTGTGGTTTATTGGGTTTCGGCTTAATAAACATAATCCTTGACAGGAGTTTGACTTATGGGGGACCACCAATGGCATGAAGCTCACAATGCTGCTGCTCATGGTATTTGTTGTGGGCATTAAAGCGTCCAATAATAAAGCATTATTCTAACCCACACCCAACGATTGTTGCCTCTTAATTCTCACTTAAGTAGTTCAGCTCCCATTTATCCCACTTAGATCTAGTATTACCCTTGACTAATCCTCCAGGGAAAGATACTTACCCATACAAACTGCAACAGATGGAATTCAGGAGGTGGTGTTCTGATAATCAGGTCTTGCCAACTCTTTGATAAAAGCAGAGGCCATGTGTGGAATAATATATTAGTCCTAAACACAGGACAGCTGAAGAGTACCCCCATAGTTCTCCATAACCCGTGCCTAACAGAGGGTTCAAACACACACTCAAGAGAAAGTACAAGCACAAAGAGACTTAAAAAAACTGACAAATATATGACCGAAATAAAAATAAGAGGACAAAACTGTGACTTTCGATGGTTAGTACCACCATAATGATATGTTTGTAGTGATTGTGATGACCATAGTGGTATTTCCACAATGACTACAGTGATCACGTAGTAATTGTCTTTAAGTTCTATTTTAATACTATTATTATAGAAAACAACCCTAAAATATGACTTCTGAAGGTAAAATATAGCAATTGTCACTCCTCAAGCCTACAGCAGAGGGTGGTAAAAATATAATCGCATTCTGGAAGACTGAGACAGAGTTCCAAGCAATCAGACCCCACCCTTTTGCAAACTCTATTACCAAAGAAATTCAACCTATTAACAGGATTATTGCAATGCTTCTATGGAAAAATTATGAGCCTAAACTCAATAGGAATGAGAAACCATCATGAATATGAAAACATATGAAGACTAAAATTACTGTATTATTTTTATACTTCTATGTTTAAATATATTTATATTTTTCAGCACATTCTTTTCCTACAACAACATTACCCCAGTGTCGCAAAGGCTCCCACCTACGGTGGGGGTAAGGAGGGTCGAACGTACGCAGCTTTGCCCCTGTACTAAAGCACAGAGAGACTGTTTCTGAATGACCCATGATGAAAATCGCGTCGAAAATTGCATGGACTGACTATTGCTTCATAACAAAGAAGCGCAGACAGTTTAATGAGTCACTTTGCTTTATTCCATCATATTCCCAATCTAAAAAATAGAAAGAATAATCTAACCAGTATTCTTTTGTGGGGAATTCTGGAAAGGTAAGTTCCCCTTGAACACACATGCAACCATGTAATAGGTCACTTCATTCAAGTGTCACATAAAGAAAAGAAGTATGTTGATTTCTCTAATGATTACTATTATGCAACTGTGCAAGCATATTTAAAAGTTCAGTTTAATTAATACATGACTCATTCTCCACTATGCAGAACAGATCTACATCTACAATACTTCAGTTTATGTACATTCCAAAGCAAAGACTTAGCATGCATCTGCACAAAATTAAATAGAACCTAGAGGAATCTATAATAACCTGAAGGAAAGGAAGGAGGTTGTTGTAAACTTCGTGGAACACTTTTGACTTTACAGCCAACCTGCAACACGATCAATACTTTATAATCTACAGAACTAGACAAAAACATACCTGAACAAATTCTCATTACTTCAAAAGATAATGCAGAGAGGTAATGGTTACAATACAATGATATACATTAAAGTGTACCTTCTTAAGAGGCAAGAGCAAACATAAACCTCTTCAATATCTGTTTCAATTTTTAGCACAATATATTGCTTGACAAGTTCATTGATACAATAAACAGAATCGGACCATCTATCATCCATTTCTTCATGGATATATATCACTGATAAAAACTTCTGCAGTACTGACGATAGCATGTTTTTTGGACTTGCATTACAATAAACTTCAGCTAAAACGTTCAAAATCTCGCAATCACTAACTTTAAATTTGTCAACCCATTTAGGTTGATCTCCAACCCAGAATTCATTGTCCTGGTTGTCAACACACTTAAAGGAAGTATCTGAGGGTGGCTCAAAAGTTCTATGTGCTGGAAGGTTCTCAAGTATGTCAACCTTCAACTCCTCAGGCAACTGCTGCAACACGGAGGTATCCACTTGACTTAAAGAAGAGGGCATCACACATGAAATGGGACCAGTTTTCTCATCAGCTGGCAGTAGTATATTACACAAAGAGATTGCTTGGACTTCTTCTTCTTTAGATGGACTAACCTAATAAAAATATTAGAAGACGTATACTAAAGATAATACCTCTCTATAAGATGAATTAGTGATACTATAAAGGTAAACAATCCATTGGAATACCTGACAACTGGTCAAAACTTTCTCTGACGAACCAACATAACTAGAATAATGGGTATTTTCCATAGTGAGTGTACCTGCTTAGACAAGGCAGAATCCCCATTACAGAAAAGGCAATCAAGGAAGAGAATATATATTGCGTTCTTAAAAGAATTGGTTTAAGAAGATACCCTTGAAACTTTTGGGGCATATATCAGCAACAATGTTTTTCTTTTTAGAAATAAACCTCAATAGTTCCCCACTGTACATGTCATTTAATTCGGAAAGGAGCTCAGGAGGAAGAGACTCTATAACACCCACATCAAGATCATGCATAGGAGGGAGCTCAGAATCTTGTCTATTACCAACATCACTAGTAGACGACCTAGCATTCCTTTGCACCAAAGGTCCCACTATATCACTGCCTGAATGGGCAATGCCTTTATCAACACTTTGTTTACCATTATCTGCAAAACAAGGGTATTTATGGGTTTATGCATAAATCTAGCTGCAAACTCTAGGAAATTCAATTTCATGAAGAAGAATTAAAGAAACAACTGACAAATGGGATACATCATACATAGCAGTCTGAAAGGGATACAAGGAGCACACAGTTCAAAGATGGCAATGAATTTACTTTCCAAAAACTGGTCTTGTATATCCCGCACCTCAGATAAGCGGTGGACGTTAAATCAGTTTCAAAATCATAAATTTCAAAATGAATTATTTCAAAGCGGCAACCACTATATCAGAAGCAGTGAGTACATTATGACCAAAAATGTGTTTGAGGCTAGAGGAAATTGAATTGAACCTGTTTCAGCACCCTTTGCCTGATTACTGTACTTTTCCATGGTAGAAGAAAGCCAAGTATGGATCATATTCTTCTCATTACCTTAATGAGCGTGTGAA